AGACCATGGGACTTAGTGCCTAATCTCGATCATTGACTCAAATAAGTACTATTGACAGCAAAACTTAACCGAATTAGTTAGTAACTAATTAATTAGACCCTAGGTGATGACTCGACCAATAATCCAAACTGTCGGCCAAACGACAGGACTGGCGTCGCAATGTGGAGCTTGGCGCCAGACGATAGAGCTGTCGTCAGGTGCCACACTCCATAGTGTGGCACTACATCTCAGACCTTGGCGCCAATATTGGAGCTTCGATCTGGGACTGTTTTCGGTGTTATTAGTCAATTGGGGTATGCCTGAAGTCGTACTAGGTCAATTCCGATTAATATATTAGACTTTATTGACTCAAATTAATTAATTAATTAATTAGGCAAAGTTCTTTAAGTCATTAATTTATTTAATCTCAACACAAGTCAACAAACGGTTAAGAGAATATATATGCACGACAAATAATGCACAATTAGTCAAGTAGGCACAATATGATGCAATGCGTTTGCAACCTAACCATGGCTCTAGTTCTCTAAAGTTCGGGATATGGTTTAGTCAATAGAGGGTCCATGGTTAATTGTCTGTATGCACCGCGCGGAAGCCTAACCGTGAAGGGTTGGCGCGAGTGGATGGGACACCGCGAGTTTTAGAAAAAACTCGCTTCCATGGTTTGGTGAATTCAACATCTCGGATGTACCCTTTGTTGCACGGAGCGTTCAATCAGGTAGATGGAGCATCAATTCCCAGAGGGTTATGTCCATATGTAGAACACATATGGGTTTCAGAAAAGTGAGAAAAAATTCAATTAGGAAGTAGAATCGAGCAAACAATACGAAAAACCGATCGAAATTAGAACGCATATTTCTGGCTCGGTATTGGGGAAAATTGGCGCCAACAAACAGAGACTGGCGCCAGCTTTTAGCTGTAGCGCCTGACGCCAATGCTGGCGTCAAGCGCTACGATTAAAATACTGGCGCCAATGCTCTGGCCCCTGACGCTACTTCCCACATGGCTCAGCAGCTTTCTGTGCTCGATAAAATTTTCCAGTTTCGCGCGGTGTTATTTCGGTCCTAGTTGTGAAAGATATTTCTCAAATTTCCTACGTGTAAAATCCTATGTTTTTAACTCATTACGGATGGTCTTTCCAATGAGATCTTTTTTATGCATATGACAATAATGTTAATCAAAATTACGCACATGAAATACTTAGAACGTTTCGAGTCTCATCCACTCATTCTAAATCATTGCCGAAACAAATTCAGGAATTAAAATAGAAATCCTCCCCAGCGGAGTCGCCAAAAACTGTAGGGAATAAATTTCAAGCGTCAACCCCTAGCTTGAACCCCACTGTCATCATACACTAAAGTACGGTGGCGTCCAAAAGGGAAGAAGATAGAGCAAAAGAGTCGCCAACAAGTTTTAGGAACTTGTAAACCGTTCACAGGGTGAAGGTTACACCCCTTAATGATCCAAGAGATCGTCAACTCCATAAGGTCTAGAACCAAATAAGGGTTCGGGGATGAAGGTACAAATCCAACCTAAAAGAGATTGAACCTGCCCTAATAATAGGCCTCTACTTTATTCTGATCGTATTCATGTGCGCTTTCTAATTAACATGCAATCAATAGGATTAACCCTAAACCTGTTTAATCTATGTTGGTTGAATTTAATGCACAAACAAATTATTATTGGCGATCACTTGAAATATAATCAAATTAACCCTAACAAGATTATTAATTATCTTATTGAGCGTGATTACAAATACCAATTCCCTTTAAGCATGCAATAAAAGGTGTGATCAAGCAATAGCAATAAAACATCAAGCAACATAATAATAATCAATAATTATCATAAATAAAATAATCATCATCAAAATAATAATAATAATAATAATAATATTCATAATCATCATAAATTATAACAATTATAATCATAATCATGTTCATGTTAATATTAAAGCATAATAAAAGCAAGATCCTAGGTATGATACTAACAAGATTAATAACAAACCCTAGCATGTCACTAAGCAATAAAAATCAAATCTTTAACCCTAACATGATACTAACAATCATAAATATTAGTAAGAACATAGGAAGCATCGCAAGAATCATATTAAGCATATTTGATATTATAACCTTTTTCCTAAACATGATACTAGGAATATCATAATAACAATATAAACATAATTTCTACATCATTAAAAACCATTAAAGCACTTACTTTGATGCCTCGTACCTCTTTCTAATAACAAAATACACGCGTTAGTAATTTCAAGGAAAATAATAAATAAACAATCAAATCAAATAATTGAAAGAGAGATTTGGGACCAAATCCTCAGAAATTAATCCTTTCACGTCTAGGGAAAAGGCAACTTCGAATATGGCTAGGTGTTTCTAGATCTTGCGAATGTGGAATTTTGTATTTGAAAAACAAAGTTTAGAAAAAGAGAAAGATGAATGAATTAAATGAATGAATGATTGCGAAAGAAAACTGATTGTTGATGAGAATTCGTGAGAATTGGTGAATGAAAACGGAGTTTTTAATACGTTATTAATAGAGAAATCAGCCAAAAAGATAAATTAACAGAACAGAGTCCTAGCGCACGAAAAACAGAGCTGGCGCCAACCCTGGCTAATTGGCGCCATGCGCCAATGGCTAGCACCAGGCGCCAATGGCTAGCACCAGGCGCCAGGCCTGATTCCAGGCGCCAATGCCTGGAGTCAGGCGCCAAGCCTGTTTTTAACGCGTTTTTGAAAATCAAATAAGTTTTCAGTACTGGAGGATAAAATCGTATATTTTCCTCGAAAATGCCTTTTGATTTTAATTAAAACTCTGAAAAGTCAACAAAAGTCAATTTATCAATGCTAATTAAATTAGGAATGAAAAGAACCTTCTAGAAGAATCTAGAAGACTAAAACCATTCCTAATTGCATTAGGAATGATAAATCATATTAGGCCCTCCCCTAGATCATTGGGCCGTACATAAGGCTCAAACCGGACCCAGTTTAGTAAATTGGCCATAACTTCCTCAATATTCATCGGAATTAGGCTTATAATATATCGTTGGAAAGCTCTTGTCAAGCCCCATCCAACTACACTTCTATTGGACCCATATCATGGACCAACCAAACTGGATTGGATGTTTTCTTAAAATAAGTTTTCAAAAACAGAGAGAAGAGAAAAGAAATTAAAATTATCCGCAACACTAGATTTTCTACACTTTCGCTTCATTCGATTATAATTCGACGTGAAAGGCACTCATCACTGGGTTTGGTTTTGGGGAGACACAAATGGGTGTCTACACCTACAAATTGAATTCTATATAACTCTATCCTACGTGGCGCGACACTTGGCGAAAAGTTGGAACGCCAAGTGTCGCTATCTCATCGCCTGGCTAAAAGTTTAGCTTTATATATTATTTATATGATTAGATTGGTCAGGTATTAGATAATAAATATCATAAATTAGATAATATTGGTAAGATTTTATATAGTAATGGTCAGGTTGTTTTGTTTTGTTCATATCTTAAATCCCCTTTTCATTTTTCTCCAGTAGAAAAAATTAGATACTATTGCTCGGCTTTGCATCTTCTTCTTCCACTACAAGAAAATAACCTTTTCGTAGCGATTATTTTAACCTTTAGTATCGATTGTAATTGCAACAAAAAGATTTCCCAATGAATGTTCATTCGATACAATATCCCCCGTTGCCTTAACCTTTAGTAGTGGTTTTCAATATCGCTGGGGTTGGCCTCAATAATCGATACAAAAAACTAGATCCAATCGTAGTGATTATTGTAGCGATTATAATCGCTATAAATGTTGAACTCATTTTCTTCAAAAAAAAAAATCATACATATGATCTTTACAAGATTCGAACATGCAACCTCAAACTCTTATTTTAAATGTTTCACCAATAAACTATGACATATTTTATGTATTCTTTGTCAAACAATATTTATATATCTAGTGTAGAAAAGGCTTTTTGTATCGATTTTTGGGATTTAATGGCGATTGTAAATGATACGATTTCTCATAATTTTATAAATGTGCAAAAATAGTGTGGATATGTATTATTATGTTTTCTGTATCAATTTTATATGGGAAAACCATGGCGATTGTAAAATGATACGATTTCCTTAATTATTTCACAAACATACTTGCATATTGTAGCAAATGTACAATCGCTACAAAATAATCGCTACGAAAAGCCAATTTTCTTGTAGTGTTGGCCAATTTTACGTAATTTCCCCCTTTTTTCCCTCTTTCTTCTTGCACTTAGTCTTTTTAATTTTAAAACCTAAAAACTGCAGATAATATAAACTAATACAAATCGAAAATGAATGCATGAAATAGCAGTTATAGCAGAAAAAAGGAGAGAGAAAAAACCTAAAAAGTGAAGGAAATGGTGAAGATGAGAACGAAGAAAAACAGCATGAGAATGTAAAGCCATTGACGTTGGGAAGGTCGTCGGCATCGGGGGTTGGGAGGGAGAAGATCGCCGGCCGTCGACAAAGCTGACAGAGGGTAGGGGATAGGAGTATGCATTATAAACCGGACTCACGTGAAACGGACTCACACAAAACCTTCAAACTAGTGAGAAAAAAGACTAAATTGAAAAGAAATACATCATAAATTGAATTGAAAACTAAGAATTAAATCTGTAAGAAATACGTTATTTTCTATGACTATCGTGATTACATACAAAAAAAAAGGTCAAATTAGCATTTAAGACCTTGTTCTTCTCATCTTATTCTAATTTAATGAATCGTTATTTAAAAATGTTGCTGAAGTAAGTTTCATTTTGAATCATAGTTATTTTCGCTAAAATAAATTGACTCGTTAAAAACTCAACTAAACATAACTTTAAATTTATAATAACGATTTAAGTCGCCCCTTAATTACGAAATACTTTTTGATAATATAAGCTTTGAATACATGTATTTGTTTAATTTAACATACAAGCTCGCTTATTGTCATTGAACTTAACTTACTTTTACTGAACATTTATTAAATTTTACTTTCATCTAATGCAAAAATCTTCCGTCCCTTACCAGGCCACCCAAACTTAAACACGTACGTTTGTTTTTGAATTTGAAACAAATATAGCCCGAAATTAGTCGCCTTCCAAAAACAATGTAGCCCACCACAACCATCATCAAGGAACTTAGAAGTATCCCTAAACGACTCAAATTTGATTTCACCACCTTCAACCCAATCAATGACACACTCATAACTTACGGTGTACGTGAAGGCAGTGCGCAAATCGAATGTGAAATTGGCATTTACTTGCACATGTTGAAGCTTCAAATCTGTAAATTCTCCATCATCCCCTTTACAATGCACATCAAGGGTATCATTAGACAAATTATTTATTACGGCTACATGGTATTCTACATATTTTGCAAAGGCTTTTGCATTGACATATATTTTGGGTTGAATTGAGATAATGATAATTGCAAGAATTAAGAGCACAAAATGTACTAGAAATCCATGTGCTTTCATTTTTCTTGTGTTGTATGATGCTTTTTGGAAGAGAATTGAATGAATGAATATAGTTTGATGTTGTTTTGAATTTTAACACATCACATTATATATATATATATATATATATATATATATATATATATACATGTACAAATTGTTAAATAAGCACAATAATAGAAGAACTAATTAAAGGTTAGACCTAAGAGTTTGTTCACATTTACTGAATTGAGCTAAACTGAATTGAACTGAACTGATTGAAGCTGAGTTGAACTGAACTGAATAGAGAAAAAATGAATATTTTATGAGAGAAGGAAATTAGAAGCTGAATTCAACTGAAATGAACTAATTAGAGCTGAGCTGAAATGGACTAAACAGAAATGAACTGAACTGATTGGAGCTGAACTGAACTAAAATTAAATAGAAGTGAATAGGCCCTAAGTTAATAAAATTTAATAATAAGAGAGAAATTAATTGACTTTTAGGTGGGTATTGAGTAACTCACTTGATTTTTTTGCTAACAACGAGCAATCTATTTCCATAAATGTGTTAATTTTTACTTTAGTTATGTGGTCAAAATAGGTAGGTTATATTCATACATGAAATGCATGTATAGTATAACATTCAAATACATTTATTACTTATATATAAATGAGATTTTTAGCAATAATTGAGACATTTAATTCTACATTCTCCCTCATTTGTCATGATTTTGGTTTTACATAAATTCTATGAAATTGCTAAGTTTTGAAATTGACTTTAAGACACCTATCCATTTTCTAGTGCCCACTTTACTCATGCATTATTCAAACACTTGACTTTGACCAAAATTTGCGATTTATACGTACATAACATTAATTATAGTCCTATGGGTACTAATAAGCATTTATATATAGTTTTTTTTATATACTCCCTCCGTCCCAAAAAGAACGACCCATTTGGCCAAAACTTTGTCCTAAAAAGAATGAACCATTTGCATTAAAACACCACCAATTTGCAACAATATTTGTGCAAAATTAGCTTCCCCATATAAAAATTTGATTTTCCATGTTATTTTATTACTTTCTCTCTCTATTTTTTTACAAACCCCATGTAAATTTATCTTTCCAATATACTTTTACTTCTTTTTACTTAACTTCCTTAATACCCGCGTAATCAACCCAAATGGGTCGTTCTTTTTGGGACGGAGGGAGTAGTTTTCTTTTGACGGGAATTTATATATAGTTTTCAAATACCAATTAGGCAATTATATATTTATTATTATTATTTATATTGATCTGAACAAGTGTCCCTTTTGGTTTTACCATTGGTTTTGTTTTTTTTTAGACACTTTGGTTTCACTATTTGATATTTGATGTGGATTAAAGCCCTTTAACCTAATAAAAGATCTAAAATCACACAAGTAGAATAAAGCTTCGTTCTTGATAAGAAATTCTAACCAAAAACGAATGAAAGTAATCGGATATGACCTCGAAAACGACCACTCCTGGAACGGATTCAATGCCTAATCAAATTATCTAGACTACTCCTAGAACTAGATACTTTGATAAACAAATCTTAGACTACACCTAGAACTAAGAATTGCACGTTCTAATTATCAAAACAACTCCTTGAATTGAAAACTAGCAAAGAAAGTGTTTAAACAAAGCTATACAATTGTATTGAATTAATCTGATTTTCTATGACTCTAAAGGCCACGAAAATCCCTTATTTATAGACTAAAAATAAGCTAATTCCATCCCTACAAGGATTAGGACAAACCCCTAACCTTGCCCCCCCCAAGTATCCTAACAAAATAGGAAGTTTATAGCAACTAAAAGACTAAGTATAAAATTTCCTTCTTCCTTGATAATCAAACAAGTGACCCATCCTTGACTTTTCCCTCCAAGTTCAAACCCTATTGGACGCAAAATCGATGTAATTGGATTGGCTCTTCAAAAGAATTACCCTCTTGATTCACATCAATAATATAATACAATATTGTTTGATTATATTTTCGCCATTGACAAAATTTGACTTCCCTCAAAAAAAAATTAAAAAAGAAAAGATTTAAAGATGAATTTTTTTTTAACCAAGATGGTAGTTTTTTTTAATTATTTTTTTAATCTAAAAAAAAGATGGTATTTTTTTATATAAAAAAACGGGAGGGGTATTTTGGGAAAGTGAAATTTATCACCCAAACCTCCTTTCACTTTATTATTACAAGCTAAGAGACGCACACGATGCGTGCGTGTACAATATAAGTATTCTATCAAGCTGAATTCATGTTTTATTCCAAAACTTGATCATAATCTAATAAAAAAAAATTAGTGGGTTACAAATTGTTGATAAAAAAATTATTAATGAAAAAAATTAAGTTCTATTTTTGTTTTAATTAAGATGGTAGTTTTTTTTTTTTTTTTTTTTTTTTTTTTTTTTACAAAAAAGATGGTAGTTTTTTTTTAAAGATGGTAATTTTGTTTTTTTTAAAAAAAAAAAAAAATTGAAATAGTAAATTTGGAAATGGATAAGGGCATTTTTGGAAAAGTCAAATTTATCAACCAAAATGCCTTTTCTCTTTATATAGTACTATAGATTATTATTATTATTATTATTATTATTATTATTATTATTATTATTATTATTATTATTATTATTATCTCAAAAGCAAAAGTCATACAACCTACAATAAATTAGTGGGAAGCTGAGATACAATCTGGGCCCCCACTCCTCTAGCTATTGCAAATCCTACCCTAGTGAAGATATGAGCTGCAGCACGAGCCCCAATGTCTTGCGTCGTCGAGAACCTTTGAATCCGCTTCTGTAACGCAACAGCCTCTTTCTCTAATTCCCCAAGCGAAGAAAAGGAGAAGGGAATGAAACCATATCCAATCGCCTGACATCGAGCTTCATACTTAACCCGCTTCCGATGAGCTGCATCAGCCACAACCCGTCCAGGAATGAAGTCAGATAGCCCTGACTGTGTCAAAGGAGAAGACCCTGTCAAATCAACACAGACATCGCGACCACGATCCCATGAATAAAGTAACACATCCGCGGGTCTGAGGGCCTCGTCGTTCCCTCCGGCTAACCCAATGTCAACCTCTTTTCTCGCTGAAATCCCAGAACGATAGCAAACATCAACAAGGGTATCCCGAACAACATTATGCCGATGTTTAATACCCACAATAACAGCACAAGACACTGCGTGATCACCGAAAATATCTCCAGCAAAAACCCTCGAACAAGTAGAGCACAACGTCGAGATAGAGAACAATGGTACACCCAACCGATAGGACAACACACAGCGATAAGTCTTGGCGTTCATCGTCTGACCCAACCCTGAAATAGGAACCGCCCGAAGCCAAGCAGAGGTGTGATCACCTTGCTGTGATTTCCATAATGCTGATTGTCGAGGAGTTAAAGAATAAGCAGATTCTGCAGAAGCGGTAACCTTTGTGAAATATATATCTGCCAATTTCTTCACGAGTTTAGGGGCAGCGACCTCACTAGGATTACTCAAAATGTCAGACTCCACTGTTCCATTAAACAGACTCAACGCATCCTCAAAGGCTCGTCCAAGACCAACAATGCCAGCATGCCGAAGAAGTTGTGTCTGCAACCAAGCAGACTGTAACCGAGAAGCAAGAAAAGCATAGTGACGAACATCACCTGCAGAATAAACACCAAGCCCTCCAAATGCAAATGGTAAGGTGGCAAGTCGCCACTGCCAATCACCAAACCCCGGCCCCTAAGCAATAATAATACGCTCCATGGAAGATCGAAGAGCTGCATCAAAAGTGCGCTGAGCCACCTCAAAAGTACTAGGAGGACAAGTACGCAATGCAAAGTAGAGTTTTGAAACTCCAGTACATGCCCTAAGTAACAACAGCTCACACTGAGGATCATCGAGCATAGCGACCTTATCCATAAGGGCAATGGTCTTGGTCACCCTCTGCATCACAAGCTCACCACTAAATCCAGAATCGGAACTAGCGGGACCTCCAAGAAACCTAACACCACGCAAAGTTCGAGCAATATTAGGTGGAAAGACACCCAACAACCTGCTTCGAGGGTCTTCTGTAGGCCAGAAAACTTCAGTTTTTTCCACATTAAGACATAACCCAGAACGAGGTCCTTCCTCCATAATCAACTGCAGAACTTGCCCCACCACCAAAGTGTCACCAATAATCGTGTCGTCATCTAAATACCAAGCCTGAAGACATACATCAAAAGTCTCTCTGATTTTACACACCAGGGGTTGTAAAACCAAAGAAAAAAGCAAAGGACCAAGGGGATCACCCTGCTGCACCCCTTGAGATGACCATAAGGTTTGGTCCCCATAGTACAACCTGGCTGGATTAGAATAGCAGAATTCTACCCATCGCGAAATGCCCGGACAACGACGACGTACCTCACGTAACATGACCGAACGATCAACCAGATTGAAGGCATTTTGAAAATCCACCAACAACATAGATAAACCAACATCAGAACCACGGTCCTCAATCAACCGATTCACCGCATGAAGAATTGCCTCACCACCGGAAGAAACCCCAACACCAAATTGAAGGCCATCAAAGTAACTCCCTAAAGACTGACCAACCATAACAGCACCCACCTTCGAAACAAGACGCCGCCAAACCGTACCCATAGCAATAGGACGGATACCACCACCGGGCTTGACAAGTGGCGTAAGAGGAGCACTAGCAATGTACTCTCCTAATTCCATAGGACATCTCCCAGCTAGAAAGAGATTAACCACCCCAGTAATAGAGTCAACCAACTCATCTGATACTGCCACAACCGCACCACTCAAGCAATCCATAAGATGTTGAGCACGCAAACCATCCCTACCACATGATGTGCCACGAGGGAAACTCCTAATCCGATCCAAAACAACAGCAGAAGTCGTAACGAGATGAAGGTGATCAATAGGTATATCAGGCAGGGATGGAGCTGGAGATGAAGGGTGCTTTGACTGTAAATCTGCAAGAGTGGCGTCATTATAAGGTGCAACGCCTGAAGAAGAAAGAACTCGA